GACAAGGTGCGTTTCTATCAGTCTTCCTACCATTATGACCAAGTTGCGAAAACAAGGTCAAACAACTTCGCAATTTAAAGTTATTATATGTGCGTGAATGGTATTTTTGGCTTTACCGTATGTCCTCAATGCGCACTGGTGTCTGGATGGATGCGTTTTTTGGCGGCTACGGCTTGTCTATGTTTCTAATTCGTACAAAAATAATTATATTTACTCATTTGGCGTCGCCTTATTGGAAACGTCAGATAGGGAATGTGGAAATTATAGGGGGTTTACACAGTGAAGCAGATCGGCGACTACTTTTTCCTCTAAAAATGCAGAGTAACTTGTTGGCATCCCGGTTCTCCCGTAACTTACACTTTTTAATTTCAGTATTCCGGCTCTAAGCGGCTATGCAAGTGTTCGGACTTCTAGTTAACCTGCATTTATCAGTTAATTGCTCGATGAATATTTTCATCACTTCAGCATTTTCTGACTGCCTTTCGGTATGTTTTGAGAACTTGGGCATAGTCACGTAAAGGGACCAGTTATCCACGCCCCTTGGTAGCTTATTCCTGCATCTTGATTTTTCCCCGGAAGGTTTTACTTATCGCCTAATACCTCGGCATTGAGGATTTATTTACCATTAGTTATATTTATCACTATCGATTGGGGTCCGACATTTGCAGAAGAACGGGTTCTTGATTTGGTGCTTATTATTTCCCCTTATTGAACCAATTAACTATTTATGAGTCTTAGAAAAGTAACTCGAGTAGAGGCTTCGCCTACCATGATGAACTCATTCTATCCTCTAGCAGAGCTGATTTTACTTTCGTCTTCTGGGACATTTTGATTTATTCTTTGAGACAACCTCAATATCTTGTGATGCTATTGTTATAAGCTGACATCTGGCGTACGGTGGCCCAAACAAAAGTTTCCTTCTTTTATTAAATGGAGAAATATTTGTCCGTTCTTCAGACTTTTAATTTCGGGATTGTGAAATTCTCTCATAATGGGCGTTCCTCAAAGATTCTTATGCAATTATTTAGTAAAATGACGTGCAAACGTTCTCCGGCCTGCCCACAACTATATTTAAGATATAACTTTGGTTGTATTGAATAGTATGGCTAATCCCCATATAGAGTGCTGGAGCTTAAATAACACAAATTTAAGTGCTAGTTTACATCGCTAATACAATTTAGTTTAGTACTAAATCACATTTAAGATTACTATTCGCATAAGCAACGCAAGATCTATCTTTACATATTTAGCTTAAGGTAATGAAGGATTGGTAGTTACATTTTCTCGCTAATACGATTAAGCCTGACGCCGCCAGAGTCTTGTTTCCAAAAATATATTCTCACTTAGGGTGGACTGCAGTTTCGACCTCATATAAGTCTCATTGACACTCTAAACGGGACACGAACCTGAGTAGTGCAATGTACAGTCTTGACAAGTTACCTACTAGTCCACACTGCTACGACTTCATTCGGGTAACAGGGTAGACGTGAATTTCAAGGAATACCAAGCCTTTCCCACATCACATTTGTAATTGGGATCAATGATGGAGCAAAATTTTATTTGGTATTACAGTAAACTACACTACTTAATTACTATTACTTAATATAAATTTAAAGAAGACTGCGATCATACTGAGGGCCTTCATATCTTCGATTAAACTACGGTAGTAATGTTGCCAGACAAAACACTGAATACAACCGAACAAAGAATCCAGTTGTAAGCTACTCTTGCCATCTGACCTTCTGAAACGTTATGGTATCACTCCTGATTTCTGTGATCTTAAGAGATTCTACCATTAGGATAAAGTTAATAAGTTTCTCCACCAGGCCTCTATTCAGAAACTAGGTGAAACTTATGATACGGAGATGAATAAGCTAGTCAACTTTATAGATATTAAGTCAAAGCTCCGGCATGATCTAGCCAGGATCCTGACTCCGGAAGACTTGCAAAAACTCTAGAGCATGACCAACAAGAAATCATGTAGGATCTCAATTTTGTACGCTTGGGATTATAAAACAGCCAAAGTTCCAGCCAGTGCTCCCATTTGAAATGATTTCCAAGGTGACAACACCTATCGATCAGCACGACGATCAGGAGAAAGTGGTGAATTTATCATCATTTCCTCTTGATCCCGAAATCACCACACTCGTGATAAATGACTCAACTTTTCACTTCCAAATGACAGTGTTTTCTAGGAAACATCCTGGTGGAGGGTATCAATATATCCGAAATTCCATGGGTAGGCAAAACGGGAAATGGAGATGGAACGAATTCCAAAGATCTTGATACATCAAGAATCGACATACAGGAACATAATTGCCAGAATACGCAAGACTCTGGAAACGAATGAACAATTAGTACTTCAGGTGGATAAAGGAGGAGCGACAGTAATAATGGACCAAAAACTATATACCGAGAAGATGAAAGATATTCTACAAGACAGGATTACATATAGTAAACTAAAGTAGGAGCCAACTATGAAGGTCAATGGAATCTGAAGTGGCATGCTGAAAGATATGCATATGAATGGGGAACTTGTCGCATGGACAAAAAATTCATTCATGAGAAGGCATGCACGATGGCCAGCAGCCTACGGATTACCGAAGATACATAAAGTGGGCAAACCATTAAACCCGATAGTCAACAAAAAGTATGGAGCAACGCACAAATCGGCACGGTAAAATATTCATATAAATTTTCTCAAAAAATAAAAATATGGCATTGGTAGGAGCAGACTTATTGGTTAGTTTTGATGTAGAATCCATGTATACAAATATCTCTGGAGAAAATGCTCTAACAGCCCTGCTGGAAATCCTGGACCGAGAGGAATCACAACAGATCAGGAGGGAGTCGCTAACACGACTTATCAACTTGACAATAAGGATAACCTATTTTACATTTAACGGGACCATCAATGGACAAATATTTGGACTTCACATGGGATCATCGCTTTCACCTTTTTGACAAAAATATAAATGAACAAATTAGAAAAGAACTCCAAGATGTCACCGCTACAACCGGCAGTGCTCGTGCGGTACCTGGATGATTACTTCGCACTTTGGTCACATGGAAGAGAAAACTTGAAGATTCTCTGTAGTTTATAAACCAGATCGTAGATACGAAGTCTAAGATGGTGTGGCTTTCTGTTTGGTCGCAGTCTCCTCTAGCTTTATAATGTTGTTGGTTCGACCTTGTTTTCGCAACTTGGTCAGAGTGTCAGGGAAACTTTGTGTAGCATAAAGTTAGTCCCGTGTCCTCTGCCATAGCATTCGTCATTTCCAGCATTGGAACTTTGGCTGGGTTAATTCCCAAACGTTTCGCCAGCATCGTAGTCGGTATCGTCAGTGAGAGGCGCCATCGTAAGCACAGAGTGACAAGTGAAGGCAACCCCCTTCGATAAGCTGTAACAATGGCGCCTCTCAATGACGATGCCGGCGAAACGTTTGGGAATGAACCCAGCCAAAGTTCCAATGCTGGAAATCACGAATGCTACGGCAGAGAACACGGAACTGGGTACGTTACACAAAGTCTCACTGGCACTCCGACTAAGTTGCGAGAACAAGGTCAAAATAACAACTCTATTAAGCAGATTGATGAAAAAATTTAATTCGCGATGGAAGTAGAGGAAAGTGAGCGATTACCTTTCCTGGCTGCTGAGGCGATTCGCTCTACTGAGGCGCTCAAGAAGAAATTGTTCAGAAAGTAGTCTTATTCCGGGATAATACTCAATTTCCAGTCCCATCACAACTACGGGCTAAAGATAGGAATAGTGAGGAGAACGATCATTCGAAGCCTACGTTTAACGGATGTGGAATTCTGGGATGAAAAATATGAAAAATTGACTGGAATATTGCTCGGCAACGGTTACTCAAGCGAAGTAATACGAAGAAACATACGGGCCATGAAAAGCTGATAGTAGAACGGGACCACGAAAGAACAGTAAAGACGGAAAAGGATTCACAAAAGTGGATATGCCTACCTTACTGCTGACTAACACAAAAAGTAGGGCCAATATTAAGGAAATAGAGTATTTGGGCGGCCATAAAAGAAACATCAACACTCTTCACGAGTCTACCGACGCAACATGAAAGGGTAGACAAATAGGATTGTTCATGAGTTTACTGTATATTATTTGGCGCCCATAAACAGGAATATGTTGGCGAAACAGGGATGAAAATTAGCATACGAATATAGGTACATCAAAGGCTTTGCAAGAAAATGGATGCCGA